GAAAGAAGGAAAAAGGAAAAAGAAAAAGAGAATGAGTCAGCCGGCCTTATCCAAACACCTTTTAACCCCTTTGGAGTTTGAAAAATTGAAGGTTAGGTCCATTAATAATGTTTCTTCATCATTTAGTCCTTAACTCAACTTATATGCTCTAGGAAATTTTGGGGTATTACAATCTCTATTGAAATTTTCAGATATATTCTTTTGCTTGATTTGTTTGCTACTTTGAATTATAGTCTTTAAGTTTTAAATGGGTTTTCTTCATAATGTGTGATGAGAACACATTTTTGTTTTTTTCACACACTTCTAAGATATTTCTTTTACCATGATATTATTAAGTCCTTGTACACTCATTTTGCTTCTTAAGAATAACCTTTTTGAGAATTTTTTAGCATTTCACGAAAGAAATTTTATTCCATGGTGAAATTTTGCAATTCTAGCAGTGTGGCCTATATCACAAGCAATTGCTCATGGTTTTTTTTGTTTATAACAAGCTTTAAGAATGGCCAGAAGAGGATTATCCACCATGTGCAAATGGTTCAGGTTACATATTGTCATATAACATTACACAGTTTGTTGTAATAGAGTTTGAGAAACACAAGTTACAAGTAAGTCATCTATTTTGACTATACCATGTTTGCCTTTTTGGTCGCTTTCTCATCTACACTTGCTTGTGTTTGTGTATAAATCAGTGTGTCTGCTTGCATTCTTTTGTGCATGCTCAAATTAGCATTGGCACTGATAAACACTAATAACTAATCAATGAGCACTTGTTTTAGCTATTAAAGATGGAAGATGTAACATGGGAATGTGGGTAAAACGGTTCAACAATTCAAAGCTAGTTGAGTATACACAGCCTAAAGTTCTGTCACTTTGGATGAATAGAGGATTATTACACACCTCATTACCAATCTCCAAGACAGATGTTGTGCATGTGGGATAGATTGCAATTGCAAGGAAAGCCTCGCCTCGATGCTGCAACATGAGATGACCATTAAGCAACAACAAAAGACGATGGTTCCCATGGTAAATTTCAAAAGCAAAACTAAAGAGCAAATTTTGCAGTCATAGTATGTCTCTATATATATGGGGTTAAGTTAGACATATTAGGTCGTTACTTCCCTTTCCAAATTCATTCTTTAGGCCATTTTGTTCAACATTCCTCAATGTCAAAAATATATATGGCTATCATTTGCAAACAACTACTTTGTAATCTATAGAGTGAAGAATCTAGTCCAGAGCCAATCAAATTAAAATTAATTTTCGTCACTCTGCTACTTTTTCATCATAACTTCAGCATTTTCGAAAGGTAAAATGTCAAATATTTGTCTTTTTATGCATTTTTTAAGCTTAGCTTGAGGCGTGGGATACATTCAAAAGAACAAATCTGTCGATGAATAGGTGTCTTAATGGGTGATAATTATTATTATTTATAATTTAAGTATTTTTATTTCTTTGATCGTTCAAAATTTCTAACTTCAAAATTGTATACCAAGAACCTCTTTTTATTTTTAAGCAACTCTTTTTGGGAAAGAGATTAGTGTGTGTTAGTTGGACTTATAAAAAAATTCAATGGAGAAAATTTTAAAATTGGACTCTTTCAATAATGTACTATGAGAAAATATTAACATAGTCTTAATTTTGTTTTAAAAATTAATATGTTTTAAATTTTTAATAAGAATTAATTAAAATAATAAAATTTTAAAGTATTTCTATACTTAATTCTTTTTTATAAATATAGTTGATAAATATTTTTCTTTAAAAAAATCCATTCTCATTTTTAAAGAATTAGCATTATATTGAGAAAAACCAAAAAATGCTTCTCTTACTTGCATTACCTAGCCTACAAAATAAAAACATTAGTATCATTTTTTTTTCTTAATTTCTTTTCTTGAAGCTCGGGCTCTCTTGAGAGCCCAAGTTTCATGTAATTTTCTAATTTTTCTTGAATTGAAACCTAATAGTCCTAATATGTAGCCCAAATAGAATTCTTCTGGTCCTCTCTTATGGTACCTAAGAACTTGACTTAGATTAATCTAGGAATTGGGAGACAGAGAAGTATAAGCCACTTCGATAATGTAGCAAGTAGGTTTTGCCTCTGCACTTTTAATCTAAAAGCCAAGAAGTTTTGGGGTTCTAATTAGCTTCAAGGTATCACCTTCGACCTCTCCCAGTTGATGGGTTCACTTTATTTCTCTGTTTTATGCTGGATTTTGGTTTTTCTAAAATTTTTGTAGCATTGTGGTACTGGGTTCTCAGACGAAGTGATAAAGTCAATAGATTGTTTGGTTATACCAATAAGAAATTTGTTGCATGCATTTAAGAGAGATTTTTTTTTCGATACGAGGATACCATTTTATGATGTAGGTAGTTTACACTTTGAATGCGAGTGCTTAATGCAGGGGATTTTGCTTTATCCAAATGGGATTTGATGAATTGCCTTTGAGAAAGATAGTTATCTTCTTTTTTTTTTTTCTCTTTCTTAAATGGTTTCAAGTTTTTAGGGAGGGGAAATTGAAAACCTACATAAGACTAGATCAAAAGGTACACTGTGAGCTTCCATTATGCCAATAGGACAGGTGCGAGAAATGTTTTAACTTGGGTTTGTTGATAGAGTTTTCATTGTATTCCATTTAGCATTGTTGGTTCATGTCACATAAGCTTCAAATGCATTAGATAATGTTCTAATATTGGAATTCATGCTAGCAGGATGATGTTGATTAACATTGGCCAGCATGATGGTAGATGATCTTGGTAATTGAAAATGGAGTGCAACCATCAATAACTTGAAATTGGTTTTACTTGATAAATTTAACTGTTCAAGTTTAGATTCAATAAGAAGAGAATATTGAGCCAGTGGAGATCAATTCTTTAGTTCTTTTTACAACCCACTTTCCAAATAATCGTGTTTACTGCTACCTATCATGTAGATACATGGTTTTACCTCTTGAATGGTTTTAGAAATTCACATACACTAGTGTTAGCAAACATTTGGGAACAAAAGTAGTTTTGACTATTTCATTTTGGTTGTGATACTAATGTCTACTCTTTCTTATTTTAATAATGGAAATTTTTTATGAGAGTTTGTATTTAGCATATGATGGACTAATGAAAAAGGCCCTCTGTTTTGTTTCTTCTATATGAGGGAAAGCCACAATCTTCTTGAATAAAGATTTTCAAAATTTGTTATGATGGATTTCAGTTGCAAAGACCAAAAGGTTTGTTGTCTCATCCTTGGGCCATTTTCCTCAACTATTTTTTTATCACCATCACCTTGGTTCTCCTTCTAATTGTTCGTTCTTCAACAAATTTTCGAGCCAAACACTCCTTTGCTTGAGTTCAACCAATACCAGACCTTTTCCTAATTATTCCCCAAAGAAACCCACCATTAAAGACTCAAAGTTTGTGCATCAAATCACTTTTACCATAAAATTACGTCGTTCTGAGCCCCACCCTCATATTTTAAAGCCTTATGAGTCCTAGTTTCGATCTGATCACCTAATTTGGGTTCTAACGAAATTTAAGAATGACTATGGACTTGTTTTGGATTTCTTTGAATGGGCATGCTTGTACAGAAACCCAACTATTGAAGTTTGTTCCATTGTTGTCCAAATTGTTGTAGCTTCAAAGATTTAAAAATGGCTCATTGGCTTATTCTCGACTTTTGGAGAAAATCCAATTTGGATGTTAAGTTATCCTTCACTCGTTTTGTTGAGCGGTTACTATACATTTACAAGGATTGGGGTTTAGAGCCTCATGTGTTTGATGTTTTCTTCCAAGTATTTGTTGAAGTTGAGATGCTTGATGAAGCAATGAAATTTTTTGAGAAAATTTTGAATTATGCTATGGTTATCTCTGTTGATTCCTGGAACCTATATCTTTCTCGTTTATCAGACAAGTTGCATGGGCTTTGGAAGGCAATGAAAGTTTTTACTGAACTTCCTCAAGTGGGCGTTTGTCAAAACATTACATCATACGCCATTCTTATTCATCTTCTTTGTTGACTTGGGAAAATAAAAGATGCATATCTTTTGCTCCTGCAAATGGAGTTGAGGGGTTGTATTCTTGATGTTGTAAGTTATAGTATCATAATCCATGGATATTGTCACATGGGAAACTGTAAAAGGTGTTAAGGCTCATTAGAGAAATGCAAATACAGCAATTGAATCCTAACCCCTATACTTACAGTAGCACAATTCATCTTCTTTGCAAGATAAGTAAAGTAGTTGAAGCTGAGAAGATTTTGTGGGATATGATCAATGAAGGAATTTGTCTTGATTATGTGGTATCCTAAACTTTCATTGATGGTCTTTGTAAGCGTGGAAATGTTTCAGCTGCCTATATGTTGTTGCATGAGCTGCAGTGTTGGAGAATCATTCCTGATTTATTAACTTATGCCTCTCTTATTTGTGGATTTTGTCAAATTAGAAATATGATTGAAGCAGACAAAGTCTTCCATGATATGTGTAATCAACGGTTGGAACCAGATGAGGTTACATGTATTGCCCTTATTGATGGTTATTGTAAGGTTGGCAAGATGAAAGAAACCTTTTCACTTCATAACCAGATGGTTTGAGTGGGGCTGGTCCCAAATGTTGTTACCTACACTGCTTTAGTATATGGACTTTGTAAATCTAGCGAGTAGGATACAAAAAATAAGCCTCTTCATGTGATGCATGGGAAGGGCCTTCAACTAAATATCATCACTCACAATGCAATGGTAAATGGACTTTGTAAAGTAGGAAATATTGTTGAAGCTACAAAGCTTATGGAGCATATGGAAGTGGGAGGCTCAATCCTTATACTTGTACATATTCCAGTCTAATGGATGCATATTGTAAGGCAAGGGATATGAGCAAGGCACAAAAACTACTATTGAGAATGCTTGACAGAGGGCTCCAACTAACTATTGTTACATTCAATGTGCTAATGAATGGATTTTATATGTCTGCAATGTTGGAAAACAGTGAGAGATTACTAAAATGGATGTTGGACAAGGGTATAACGCGGAATGCAATCACCTACAATTCTCTTATGAAGCAATATTGCTTTAAAAACAACGTGTGCGCTGCAACAGGAGTTTATAAAAGTATATGTGCAGAAGGAGAATTGCTTGATAGCAACACCTATAACATCTTGATAAAAGGGCATTCAAAAGCAAAAAATATGAAAGAGGCATGGTTTTTTCACTAAGAAATGGTTGGGAAGGGATTTAGTCTCACAGGTAGTTCCTATAATGCCATGATTAAAGGTTATCTTAAGAGGAAGAAATTTTTGGAGGCAAGTAAACTATTTGATGAAATGAGAAGACAAGGGTTGACTATTGATAAAGACATATATGATCCATATCTTGATATAAAACTATGAATGCAACACGGAAACCTCACTAAAGCTTTGTAACGAGGTAGATCTTGTTGATAAGTCCGAGAATGAAATTGAGCACTATGTTGTCTATTGTTTGCTTAATCTCTTCCTTACTGAAATGTGAGTTTGTTGTTTGCTTAATCTTCTGATGATTATGAAGCATCTTAAAAAATATACTAATAATTCTGACAAGGATTTATTGTTAAGGATGCCACTAGACTATCTATAACTGGAGACATTGATGTGCACTCTGTATTTGCTACTTCCTTACCCACTTCACATCCAAGTTTGCTCCACAAAAGCATCTTGAGAAGTTGAGCAAATGGAAAGCACCAGCACTTCCTGATGGACATGTAGAACTTTTCATTAGAATACTTTCTACTAGTAATCATTTTGCTGAGCAGATGTTTGTGAGAAAGTCTTGGATGCAACATGAGTTAATAAAATCTTCAAAAGTAGCAGCTAGGTTCTTTGTAGCACTGGTAAGAGTTAATATAAGAGCATGTTTGTTTCTAAAGAAATCCTTTATGAATGAAAAATACTCATGGGCTCTGGATCTTTTTCTCTTTTTTTTTTGTTATTTAAGCATGGAAGAAATGAAGTTAATATGGAGCTAAAGAAGGAAGCTGAGTATTTTAGTGATATTGTTATAGTCCCTTACATGGACAACTATGACCTTATTGCATTGAAGACTATTGCCATCTGTGAATATGGGGTGATGACAGGATATGATTCAATATTGACTACAATTCTTTCTTAATGGACATGATTGTCAGTTATTTTAGAAGAGGTGTTTGTGTTGTTTGATTGTAAAATCTAAGTAAGACTTACTGTCAGCCTTCTCTGGTTGTAATAGGTTTGCATTGTGGCTTCAAAGTATATTATGAAGTGTGATGATGACACATTTGTTAGGGTAGATGCTGTTATTGCAGAAGCAAGTAAAATCCCTAGAGATAAGAGCCTTTATATTGGAAACATTAACTACTACCATAAGCCCCTACGGTATGGTAAATGGGCTGTGACATATAAGGTGTGATCTTTATTGAAATTTTCAAATCTATTCTTTTGCCTGATTTGTTTGCTACTTTGAATTATAGTCTTTAGGTTTTAAATGGGTTTTCTTCATAATGTTTGATGAGAACACTTTTGTTTTTTATACACACTTCTAAGATATTTCTTTTGCCATGATATTATTAAGTCTTTGCACACTCATTTTGCTTCTTGAGAATAACCTTTCTGAGGATTTTTTAGCATTTCACAAAAGAAATTCTATTCCATGGTAAAATTTTGCAACTCTAACAGTGTGGCCTATATCACAAACAATTGCTCACTATTTTTTGTTTATGACAAGCTCCAAGAATGGCCAGAAGAGGATTATCCACCATATGCAAATGGTAAAGATTACATACTATCATCTGACATTGCACAGTTTGTTGTAACAGAGTTTGAGAAACACAAGTTGCAAGTAAGTCATCTATTTTAACTTTACCTTGTTTGCCTTCTTGGTTGCTTCCTCATCTACACTTATGTTTGTGTCTAAATCAGTGTGTCTGCTTGCATTCTCTTGTGTGCGCTCAAATTAGCATTGGCACTGATAAACATTGATAACTAAATCAATAAGCACTCATTTTAGCTATTCAAGATGGAAGATGTAAGCATGGGAATGTAGGTAGAACAGTTCAGTAGTTCAAAGCCAATTAAGTACATACATAGCCTAAAGTTCTGCCAGATTGGATGCATAAAGGATTATTACACAGCTCACTACCAATCTCCAAGACAGATGTTGTGCATGTGGGATAGATTGCAATTGCAAGGAAAGCCTCAATGTTGCAACATGAGATGACCCTTAAGCAACGACAAAAGATGATGTTTTCCATGGTAAATTTCAGAAGCAAAACCAAGAAACAAATTTTGTAGTCATAGTATGTCTCTGTATATATGCGATTAAGTTAGACATATTAGGTTGCTGCTTCTTTTTCCAAATTCATTCTTTTGTCCACTTTGTTTAACATTCCTCAATGTCAGAAATATAAACGACTATCATTTACAGACAACTACTTTGTAATCTATAGAGCGAAGAATCCAGTCTAGAGCCAATCAAATTAAAATTAATTTTCATCTCTCTGTTTACTCGTTCATCATAACTTCAGCCTTTTTAAAAGGAAAGATGTTAAGTACTTGTCTTTTTATGCATTTTTAAATCTGACCTTAAGCCTTGGGATACACTCAGAAGAACATATTTATCAATGAACAAATATGTTGATGACAGATATTTAATGGGTGATAATTATTATTATTTACAATTTAATTATTTTTATTTATTTGATTGTTCTAAACTTCTAATTCAAAAATTCTATACCAAGGACCTCTTGGATTGGCAACTCTTTTTGGCAAAGAGATTAGTGCATATGGTTAGACCTATAAAAAAAATTAAGTGAAAAAAAATTTTAAATTATATTGTTTCAATAATGTACAATGAGAAAGAACTAAAATAATCTCAATTCTATTTTAAAAATTAATATGTTTTAATTTTTTTTAAAAAAGAATTAATTAAAATACTATAATTTCACTACAAGAATTTTACGATTTGCCTGCACTTTATTTTAGGCACTTACCATGTGTGCTAGAAATTCTAACTTAGGGTAGAGTGCTTTTTGGGCGTTTTATTTATGGGCTTAATTCAAAAATTAGTCTACTAACTATCAACTTGATTTCATTTTAGTTTAGAAAGTATGTTTTATTTCTAAGTGGTCTATAAACTTAGAAAATATTTTAGAATGGTTTATCGTACAAGATTTTCGTTAGTTTTAACGAAAGAATCAACTTAGAATTAAAATAGAGTAGTTTTGTAAGTTTTAAAAAAGTGACACTATAATCCTAATAAAATATAATGAATCAAGAAATATTCTATAGAGATAGATTAGTTAGAATTTATGATGAAATTGGAAATTAGCTCAATTCGAAGAGAGAAACCTAGCGAACTTAGAAAGAGAAGCTCTAGAAGTAAATATTGAAAATACAATGAGAGTTAGAACTCTTAATTACAAAATAAGAACAAAAAGAGAAACAATAAATACATTAAGAAATGTTATTAATACACTTCTATCAGCATGAGCAATAAATAAATAAATCAAATTAACATGTATTTACTCAATACATTAGGAAAAAGTATAATAGATATAGAAGATACAATTATCATAGATAATATTCTAAAAATAGAAACAATTAATGAAAATACCCTAAGAACAATTAAAGAAATGGGAAAATCCCTTTCTCAAGAATTTAATTATATTAAAGAAAGAATAAATAATGTCAAAAACTCTAGAAATTTGAAAGAAATAAAATAAGAAATAAGGTCTATTAAAGACTCAAAGGCTCTGATATCTCCAGTAAGAGAGATAGAAATCAAAATAGAAGAAATTTTCAAGATATTAAAAGCAATCACTGAAAAATTTGCAATAAAAGCTTTAAAATGTATAATAGAATAATTCTACAATTAGAAAGTGATATAGATAAAAATTTTTATAAGATCCAGACATAACTCAAGGATCTACAAGATACTATAATATCAGTTTGTAGTAGACGAAATATTGTAAATAGAAATGAAGGATTTAAAATAATCCCAAATATTTTCACGAAAAAGCCTAAATCAAAAGGGATAACACTTTTCATGTTAAAAACCCAAGAAGAAAAGTTGAAAGAACTTGAACAAAAATTCTTAGAAGAAGAAAATGTAGAAGAAATAGATAATCAGTGTAGATAGATTATTATAACTACTAAACAATTAGAAAATATGGAAATGAACACTTAAAATGAGGAAATAGAAGAGGAAAGTGAAGAAGAAAAAGATGAGACACATCCTAATATAACCCCAACATAATTTCCAGTGCCACCTGGAGTAGAACCTAGCATAAGCCAAAACTATAGAAAAAATAGAAATCTAACACATGAAGTGATATATGATAAAAAGAGTAAAAGATTTGGGAATCAATCTAGACTTGAAATGCCAATAAGAATCAAAGAACATATAATTAGTACTAATGGTATTTGGTTAGATCTAGATTGTGTTACCAACCCAGAAAAGATCATTAGTGACTGGGCCTAAGCTACTTGGATAGCCATTGCAAACAAAAATTGGAATGCCTTGCAAACATTTAGATTTATTGAAGTCACCTTTAAAGGGATAGTTCATGACTGGTTTGCTAGTCTAAATGAAGAAGACAGTAATGTTATTATAAGTGGAAATCCTGCTTTAGAAGAAGTTAATGAAAATGAAGCAATTCAAGACATAATAAATAGGTTTGAATCAACCATTAAAAGAGAATTCTTAGGAAAAAACTGGGACGAAAATTAAGGAAAAGAGGAGGCCAGAATTAGAAGAATAACAATGTGGAATTTGCAAAATTTAGAATTATGTAATCTCTGTGAATTAGATCAATACATTTGTCTATTTCAGAAATATTATTATAAAGCTTCAAATCATGGAATGACTAAAGGCCTCATGGAATTGTTTTTTGGAAAAATTCCTAACCCTTGGGGAATAAAATTGTCAGAATCCTATAGAATATACCTAGAAGATAAGAAAGACACTTTAGGGTTAAGGATTTGGTTTGCTAAAACCAAAATTAATGAATGGTGCCTAGAAACCTATAGCCAAAACAAACTAAGAAAGAGTACGAAAAAAGGGACTATGTTGTCCTAAGAATAGTGCTCCAATCAAGTTAGGATGTAGTTACACCAACTACAACAAGAGAAATAAGAAGTTTAGAATTAAAAGAAGTAATAAACAAAGGTTTAATAAGAACAAATTTTCTAGAAAGAAAAAGAGGTATTTTAAGAAAACTGAAACAAAAAAAAAAGTATAAAAAGAATCCTAAAAAATGCACATACTGGTTATGTAAAGAAGAAGGGCATTATGCAAATGAATGTCCTAAAAGATACAAAAGAAAAAGTACTAAAAACCTAAAAATTTATGAACAAGAACTAAGTGAAATAGATACTAGCTCTATAAGTAACGAAGAAAGTATATATGAAGTGGAAAGTTTATATACCTCTAATAGTCATGAATCAGAATATTGAAGAAGAAGAAGCTTATTTTGAAGAATATGAAGAACATGGAGAATACAGTCAAATAACTGTATTCGATAAAAGTAAATATAAAAGAATTAGACAAAAGAGAATGGACCTTACTTTAGAAAAAGGATTCAAACCAAGTTTCTTTATAAGTAATCCTTTTAAGAGAAAAGATATAGTTTATTACTGAATATCCACTAAAGAATTTAGCATTCCTATCAAGAATACAATAGGAATAATAAATATAACTTTGATTATCAAGGTAGAAATAGAAAGCAAACTATCAAAAATCAAAGAAGCTGATAGATCAAAGATAGGTTTTATCTACATTGGAGGAATACAAATACTTATTAAAGCTCATTTTAGAGAAGGAATAGACACCCTAATAAAATTAGCTTTAATAGATAATAGAATCAATGAAAGAAAGGATGCTATCCTTGGACTAGTGCAAGGTAACCTTAGTTACCAAAAACTTATGTTTACAGTATATCCAAAATACGCTGTAAACATTAATGATAGAAATATTAATAAAACCTTAAGTTTAGCATATGAATTTGCTAGAGAAAACTTTATGAAAGATGGATCAATGCCATATAGTATATACTATATGATAAGTTATGCATTAACTAATAGTCATCAATCTAATCTTTTTAAACATAAAGAATATATTGAATTAGATCCTATGTTCTCTGAAATAGGACAAATTCAAATACTAGAAATGATCACTAAAATAGAATTGCCCAAAGAATGAGAAATAGACATTAGTGAAAAACCACTTCTAATAGGAGAAAGAGAAACACCTAGGCTAATGGCATACGAGTCAAGAAAACTATTAGTCAAAACAAAACCTGAATCAAGCCATAGAAATAGTGTGGACTTAGGAGTTATATGCTATCCTAAGAAAGATAAAGAGGCCTTAACTAGAACAACTAGTATAAAACATGAGGTGGTATTAGACACCTTAAAAATCCCTCCTAGACATTTCAAAATAAAAGGAGATTATTATGATGGGAAATAATGGCATAACAATTCTATCCTAATAGAAAAATGAGCAGGAGTAACACATATCCATAGTGATTTGATCCCACGCCTACCCAGATTTGAACTCACTAAACCATACACATACTACAACTTTAATGGTGTAGTGACTACAGTACATGAATATGCTAAAGTACCTCTTAAAATAGAGGATAAGAAAAAGATACAAC